TGGCTGCTGATAAACTACACTATATGGCCAAAAGTATGTGGACAACTGACCATCACATCTATATGAACTTGTTGGACATCCCATTGCAAAACCTTGGGCATTAATGTGGAGTTGGCCTCCACTTAGTGGCTAACAGCCTTCACTCTTCTGGGAAGACTTTCAACAAAATTTTGGAGTGTGTCTCTGGGAATTTGTGCCCATTCAGTCAAAAGAGCCTTTGTGAAGTCAGACACTGTTGAGTTAGAAGACCTGCTGCCTTATTACTGAAACATTCTAACTCTGCGATCTTCACTGTGGCAACTTCAGTTAGGACCAAATTTAGGACAATTAAGTTCATAATCTTATTCTGTCTCCAGTTAAGAAAGAAGTATTATGGAAACATCCTAACTGGACAAAATTTCTGTCCTAACTTTATGAAACCCCAGTCGTGTCCTAACTGTTTTAATCATCTGTTTCTACTCATTTTAGGCAGCATAGTTCACTACTGCAAAATGAAATAACATTTATTTATACTGCAAAACAGAGGTTTCAACTGTGAGTTTTATTTCTAACTCTGCATTTAAAAAATCTCCAACACTGCAGACACGATCTCCACCGTCCCCTTTTATTACCGACAAGTGTTAATGTTGATAAAAATTAATTAAATAAAATATTACAGCAACGGAGGCGAATAATGGGGAGAAGTTGAAAATGTGACTATTAAGAGGAATAACATTAGCGTGGTCAGCTAAAGCATTTGGGAAATGGAAACTAAAACTGGGGAGTAGCAATGGTCTGATAAACAGCATGGGGGGCTGTCACAATATTCTTAACTTCCAGTTTACTGCACTTCAGTTTTGTTTTGACCCCTTTTTTACATCCGTAAAGGTAGCTGTGTAGCTAACTAACTAAATTTTGATTACATGTGTACGTTTCAGCTGTGCACATATCATCTGATCAGTTGACTAGATCTTAGGACAAAAGATAGGAAGTTTCTGTAAACTGTAGATTCCTGGCTGGCAATCGACATTCCAATTAATCCTAATTAATAAAAGTGTTCATTGGGGTTGAGTTCAGGGCTCTGCACAGGCCACTGCAGTTCTTCCTCACCAAACTTGTTTAATTATGTCTTTATGAAGCTCACTTCGTGCATAGGAGTACAAACATGCTGGAACAGGAATGAGTCTTCCCCAAACTGTTGCCACAAAGTTGGAAGCATATAATTGTGTAAAATGACTTTGTATGCTGTAGTATTAACATTAGCCTTCACTGGAACTAAGAGGTCCAAAGCCTAAAAAAAGGCCCCAGACCAATATTCCTCCTCCACCAAACTTTACTGCCTTTAATTTACTTTACTTTAATTCAGGTGCTACATGCTTTAGTACTTGCCAGCCCCACTTAGTGAGCTGTTGTTGCTCCTAAATGCTTCCATTTCACAATAACAGCACTTACAGTTAACCAGAGAACATCTAGCAAGGCAGAAATCTCATGAAATTACTTGTGGCAAACATGACATCCTATGATAGTGCCACGTTTACAGTCACTAAGCTCTTCAGTACAACCCATTCTACTGCCAGTGTTTGTCTATGGTAATAGATGGTAGATGTTTTTAATAAAGTGGCCAGTGAGGACAATCAGGCAACGCTAGACTGGTCTTCATCATGAACGGCAAACACAGGTTTCTCCAAGAGTAGAGAGCGGAAACTATGGCTTTCTTTCTCTTTTTTAAATCTATAACAGTCTTACAAAATAATGAAAACATCTGCTGTTATTCAGAAGTGTTGACAGTGAAGGTTCAGAGGAAAGATGTTTGACTGGATGTAGATTACATGGTTCGAGCAGAAGGGCAAAATTTAAACCATAAGGAGCTTGTAGGTCACAAGGAGCTAACATAGCCAGGTGGCTGGTGAGATAGAGTGAGCTAACTTTCTAGTTCGTGGGGATAATTGGTGTATTTTGAAAACTATAAAAGCATACAAAGCATAATTCAGATATGTTCAGGATGATTCCTTAATTTCCATAATGACATAGAAGTGGCCACAGCAGGAAGCAGAGAGAAAAAAGTGCAAGTGTATGCACACCATAATAAATAGGCCAGTGAGTGAAAGTACAAAGTAGGTGTTTTTAATAAAGAGGCCAGTGAGTGGACATACAAGGGAGGTGTTTCTAGTAAAGTGGCCAGTGAGTGGACATACAAGGGAGGTGTTTCTAATGAAGATGCCAGTGAGAGGAAGCACAGTTACAATTACAGTTACAAAATCTAAACGTACCTTACAGAGAAACATCAGCAAAACATTCAATAAATGTATACATGCCAAGATTTGGTAAATTTTGTAAATATTCCCAAATTTTGTATGCATAAAAATGTTGAAGGCAAAAAGCAGATTCTGATAATGTTTTAGTTATTTATCTACAGAATACAGTCATAAACACTCTGCTATTCAAGTGAACAACAGCATCCTCTAGAGACAGAGAAGTGCAGATGTAAAAAGAGAGGCAGCGCGATTAGGGTTAATGCCCTCATTCACAAAACTGGACTTTGACCAACTTTATGCAGCCTCTATTTCATTTTAGGTCAGAGCCTTTCCAGCTTCATTTGATTTGCACCAGCTGAGAGCAAAATCTGTGGAATGTAATCACACCACAGTTTCCTTTGCTATTTGATACTTATAATGACGTAATTACACTGTATGACAGTAATTTTATTTATCGAGCCAGGGAAATATCAAACGAGATGATAGGGTATGCAGGGTATGTATGATAGGGTATCTACTGTTTGTCAACGGTTTTAAAGTTTTTAATTAAAGTTTTGCTGACTGTTAGTTTACTCTTTCAGTCAGTGAGTGGAAACAGATGCTGGATTATGTTTTAATCTCATTACCACGTTGGTGACATGTGAGCAGAGATTTGGTGAGATTAGGCTCAAGCCTAAACCAGTCTAAACTATGCATGCGCTCTCTCCCTCACACACATGCGCACACACACTCCGGTTTCTCGGAACAGCAACAGTCTCAGCAGCAGTGTCCTGCCTACCATTGCTCTGTATCTATCTAAGAGAGAGAGAGAGATTACCTGGGTAAGTGTGTGTGTGTGAGAGAGACAGTAAGAGTGAGGTGAGACGTATGTTTTCAGACGTGCTTGTTACATTTACAATTGTTAATTGTTTGACAATTAGGAAAAACTCTTAACCAATTTTAAAACACTTAAATTCTTCTAAATTTAATGTGAATTGTTAACACCCACGATTGAGCACACATACAGTTACCTTACTGTTACCTAATTGCAGACAATAAAGCTTAAGTCATTGTGTATGATATTATTTTTAGATCCTTTGATTTTGCTAGTGGTGTAATGATTTGCTTGCTAATGTCTGGCATATTAAAAAAAAATAATGCCGACCTGTAACTAGTAGAGCTAAGCCTTCGGTTTGGGCCATAAATGTCAAGACTTGGTCAAAAATGAAATGAGAAAACACCTCTTTGATAATGCTAAGCATTCTAGCACCTAAGGCTAAGCTAAGGCTGATTCACATCAATATTTTTGGCCATTCAAGATTAAACATTTGAGGTTTGTAAAGACATCCTGTGTTTATTCAAAGCTTGTAACACACATATTAACATATACTTTGGCCTTGCACAAGTTTCACAGCGACTCCTTCTGTAAAGAGCTCTGGCAATTCCAAACGCATTGGTTAGACTATAGCTAACTGACAGTTGCTGATGGTTTCCATACATCACAATAGTCACTGGAGTTCGACAATTTAAGATTCCGAAAACACACCATCAGCACCCTTAAGATCAATCTTAAAAAACTTCATGGGTTCTTTACTGAAGAAAATTGTTCTATACAGAACAAATCATTTGCATGCGTTAAGGATTCTTTGCCAAAAATTCCCAAAAAATGGTTCTGCTATTGTTATGACGTCAAGCTTGTAACAACAGGAAAACCCCTTTTTGGTGCTATATAGACCTGTTTTCAAAAAGATTCAATTTAGAACCATATTCAACGCATTCTCCATCAATCTGAAGAAGCTTTTCACCATGCAAAGAACCATTTAAGCATACAAATGCTTCCTCGAGTGTTCATTGTCTTTACTAAAGAACCCTTGAAGAACCATCTGTTTTCTTGTATTAAGTGTCTTCCTTTGATGTGCTACACTCTTTGCTAAAGAAAATATTTCTATATACAACAATGAACACTTTGCATGATTAAAGGGTTCTTTGCACCATGAAAAGGTTCTTCAGATTAATGGAGAACGTGCTGTAGATGCTTCTATATAGAACCTTTTGGAAAAAGGGTTCCTCTATTGTTACGATTTCAAGCCTGTAACAATAGAAGGACTTTTTCAAAAAGGTTCTATATAGAACCACATAAAACACATTCTCCACCAATCTGAAGAACCTTTTCATGATGCAAAAGAACCCTTTAATCATGCAAAGAGTTCTCTGAGTGCAGGTTTATTTTCTTTAAGTAGACACAGTAGGTAATGTGGTGTTACAACATAACCAGTCACACTGAAACTGGTTACTGGAGAAAGGTGCGATAAAGGATCCTCAGTCTGTCAGCATAAGGAGCAGTCTGAAGTTTGTATTTACAGCTTCACTGAAAACGTGCCCTCCCCAATGCACACACACCCAACCAGAAATCATTAGGACCTCTCTGAAGGCCTTGAAGGCCCTGAGGGCTCTTCACTAGAAATAATAAAACAATTCTCAAGCACCCTCTAAAAGTCTGATTTTATTGGATTTATGAGATAAAAAGCCTGCACAGATTTTAATGCAGCCACATGACCACTAAAAGTATAATACACACATTTAGGCTGTGTTTTATTGCCATCACTTCTGATCCTTTTTTAAAATTAAAAGTCATTTCTGTTGTTTTTCATGACAGGTGGAAATAGAGGAAGGAGTGGTCATCCTGTGACTGACGCTGTCTTTCGTTCAGTGGCCTTTGGGATGGGGGCAGCAGAGGTCTGTTTTGGGCTGAGTAACGAGTGAATCTTTAACTCACTTTGCTGCACGTGACTGTATACATGGACTGTGGAAGCTCTCAGTATTTAGACAGGAAAAAGACAGAAAGAATATACAAATAGGAGAGAACACACCTAAAAGAATGAGCTGGTGAGCCAATCATTAATTAGCCATAATAGCACGTATAGAGTAAGCAGCACTTAATTAGACTAGTAGTTTCTAATTAGATAAGCGGCATTACTACATAGAGTTAGCAACATCTTGATTAGTGAATTATAGTTAGACTAGCAGTTCTCTGAATATAAGCAACACATAATTTGTCTTTGTCATGTCTGTCTTTAACAGATCTGTAAAATTAACTAGCTAAACCTGAGTTGTTGTCCACTTTAGTAAACAGCAATCAGCTCACGTGAGTTTGTGAGGCTGCACTTCGATCTCTGCGGTGCACCAGGCGCGGCAATGGCTGCAGCAGCGATGGAGGTGATGGGTTTCTTGCTGGCCTTCCTAGGAATGATAGGTAACTTGGTAGCCACACTTCTGCCGTACTGGGAGACTTCAGCCCACATTGGTTCCAACATTGTCACCGCTGTGGTCAACATGAAGGGCTTGTGGATGCAGTGCGTCTACCAGAGCACCGGAAACTTCCAGTGCGAGACCTACAACACCATCCTCGGTCTGCGGACGGACCTGCAGGCAGCCCGGGCCATGATGGTCATCTCATTATTATTGTCCGTGATGGCCTGTGTTGTGTCCAGTGTGGGGATGCAGTGCACCGTATGTATGGATGGGTCTTCTGTCAAGGCAAAGGTGGCTGGAGCTGGAGGGTGCCTGTTTCTATCAGCTGGACTTCTGTCCCTCATCCCTGTATCCTGGAAGATCCATGAGGTTATTCAAACCTTCTATCAGTACAGCATCCCAGAAAGCCTGAAGTTTGAGATCGGGGACTGTCTGTATGTTGGACTTGCTTCTTCTCTTATGTCCATACTTGGTGGCGGACTGTTGAGCGTATCCTGCTGTGATGACCTAGAGGTAAGTCGAGGGTTCAGGCGCCATGCTGGGGGTTACCCATACCCTGACCGCACAGGAACTGGGGGGGCGGTCCATGGTGGCTCGCATTCCATAACGTACCGTCCAGCCACCTTGCAGACTGGGATCAACTTGAACCCAACCAACAAGAACCAGACCCTGGCCAGCCAAGTCAGTACCAGTAGCCACTCCACGCCGGCTGCCCACAGCTCCAGAAAACCTCCAAGGCACAATGCCGCAGCTAGCTACGATGTTACGGGGTATGTCTGAAGATTTGTTACTTGCTTTATATTTTTTCTTTTGTGCCATCAACTTCAAAAGACTAAAGTGCTTTACATTGGAGTGAGTGTAATAGCCAACAGTGGCATTAAGCTACAAGCATTTAGGCAACTGAACTGAAAAATGAAAGCTTCATTTCTTTCTCCACAAACCATGACATATCATTTCATGTTGAGAGACTCATCCGCAAATGAAATGAATGAATACCTCTTAGTTCGTTTGCGTAAACACAGAGCTAATGTTTCACAATGACCTATTTGGCTGCTTGACAGTAAAAATATAATTTTTTATATGTTGAAAATGATTGAAGATGCATTTTCTATGATTAAAGATTAAGAGCTTTATTTTGTTTTTGCAAAAGACAAAAATTGCGTTTAAATGAATTTTATCAACATCATAAATAAACATGATTGCTTGATTACACATCTGGGTTAACATTCTTTATAAATTCCATGTGCTCTAATTATATACACAATAAAATAAGCATGTCTGTGGGGCTACAGTAAAGAGTTGTCATTAGCTTGTTTGTTTATAACTACATACATGAATTAAGTCAATTAAATTGTAGCCTCATCTTATTGGGTGATGTGATGTTCTTGGTAGACCATGCTAACACCATGTTTGTACTAACGTGCTAAGATAAAATATTAGGTATCAGTACTGTCTGGTTATCTTAAATGTGGAACAGTTATCAGAAGCCAAATGCTGTATTATCAGACTCTGTCTAAATAGCCTTTAATTAGCAATACTTCCTTATGAAATGTCTATCTTTGGTACAATCAGATAAATGATTTACTGCACTAGAGCGTAATGGAATCAGAGACACATTTTTTGATGAGTGACTCTGTAAGACAATATGTTGCTGTAAAAATTGCAGCTAGACTGTCCACTGTGGAGAACTGTCCACATAAGGTTCATTGACATTGAGTCCACGTAAACTCACAGAGCGGGTCTGTAGCAAGTAAACATTACCTGTTTTCTGTTGCATCATTCACTCCAGAGGCTGAATTGCCTCCGGGAGCAATATCAGCACAATCATGTATAAAGTGTATGTATTATTATGTATGAATTCATTTATATATATATGTATCTCCAAAATACATGACTTCATAGGAGAAGGAAAAAACCTACTTTGCTTTTAATGTAAGTAAATGGAACTGCACTTTTTTCCAAGTCATTCTGGACTGTTTCATATAGGTGTGATAGACAAGTGTCTACATACTTTTGGCCATATGGTGTATGCTGGTTTTGGCAGTGATCAGCATAACAGCTTTCATTGTTGCTGACCAACATACTAGCATCAAAAACACGACATATTGTTTTTTCCAGCAGGGACTGAACAATTTCCTTAAGTATATCTTGCATTCTCAATACATTTTCTGTACTTCTGTACTTTTATGCTGATCTTGTTTGCTAACTAGCTCTTGCTTGGTCTCATTCACTATTTTAACATTTAAGGATGGTTTGTATAGGGCTTACCAAAAGACAGTGCCACAAAGCAGCTTTACCTTGAATCCAGATCCAAACCCCTAATGAGCAAGATGGCAACAGTAGCAGAAAAAACGCTGTGGCAGAAAGAAGAAACCTGGCTTACAGCCAAGACCCAATAAGGGAACCCATCTTCCTCTGAGTGGCATCATGTACTGATGTTACAAAGTAGGGTTTAAAAGATACCGACAGAGAGCCTATGACAAATGCCAATAGCTGACTGAAAAATATTCGTTTATAGTTACAAATAAATGCAGCAAGAAAAAGCACTAGATCTGAACAGTACATGGTATGTTAATCAGTACTGAAATATTTGCCTTTGCAGTACACCTACAGCAATAGGCTACAATATGCAAATAAGCCCTCTGACCAATTGCCAATTTTTGAATGTGTGCTGTGAGCACTTTGACCAGTATGTATCTTATCTTTTTTTGCAGAACAGATGTTTTTGCAATGTTGACATCAGTCCCTGATATTTTTGATAGTGTTAGAATGTCACCAACGTTTAACTGTTCGATGTATACTTAGCCCAAAAGCTGGTTGGCTCTTGGCGCAATGCTTTTGCACATTTGAGAAATGGGACATGCTTAAATACCAACCAGAAAGCACATGAATGCACATACAAATACACAAAAGTGTCAGCTTTGGGACAGGGGGACATTTTCAGTTATCTGCACTAATTGCATTATAATTCCTGTCTTTAATTTTTAATTACAGTGCTATTCTTGTGATCGTCGTACAACACAAGTGCAATATAGGAGAATTCCAACAATTTTTCATAATTAGTGCATAATTCTGTGGTGAGATGTAAACAACGTAATTCAGAAAGGTTTGATGTGAAATGGTTCATTGTAGAGAAACTTACTGACTCACATTTTCTTCACAGTGGTGGTGATGGGAACCAGGTGTCCTGATTTGTACAATGCAGATATAGTCATTTTTTATTTACCATCCAAAATAACCAATGAACCTAAATGTGTCTTCGGAGTTTGTATATGTAATGCTGACAATGATAAAATCGTGGTAGATCTGGTAAAAAATGTTTTCTTTGGGGACTATTTTGGCTGCATGTACCTCTCTGCCATGTTTCTTAAAATGACATTTTAGCTCCAAATCCTATCTCAAAACTATTGTGAAACAATGTGCCAGGCATCAGGCAGCGTATTCACAACTATTTCATGTGATAACATTCTGTGAGGTAGTTTTTGGAGACATTAAAGGGGAATTTCACTGATTTAAAAAATCTGCATAATTCAGATGTTGAGATGTAAATAAAAAAAAGTCCTTCAGGGTGGTTTGATGCAATATTGTATGATGTCTACAACATAAATATAGCCATTTCATTTACTACCCAAAACCACCTGAGAATCTGAGTTTAATATGTAATGTTAATAATAGTACAATAGACATGTAAAAGAGAATACTGTTCTCTTAAGGGAATACTTAGCCTTAATTTGCTGTCGTCTGGTTCCTATCATCACCATTGTGAACAATTCTGACTCTAAGTTTCTCTAGAATGGAGTATTGCACACCAAACCACTCCGAATGACTTTGTTCACATCTCAGAGGCTTAATTATGCAGACACTGTGGTGGAACCCACCTTTTAGGTCTTGGTAAAGTCACTCCCTTGTGCAGTTTCACAGTGTGTTTGGCAAAGCCAGAAGAAGAGGATGGATTAGGGGGGCCCTCTGCTGGTATGAGGGAGAACACCCGAATTAGGTGAATGGGGAAACAGCCCTGCATTATAGTGAAGCTCCATCGAATTCAGCTGCACCATGAATAAAAGCGTTTAAGAAATGCACACATACTGTTTTATTTACAAGATTAATATTTACATTATTTTACTGTGTGGTAATTTCAGAATGACGAGCAAAACGATTTGGGGAATTAGTTCTTGCAGTCTTCCAGAACCGCTTCTGTTGTAGTTGTAGTGGAGTCTCCACTTGCATTTTTCCTCTCCCGACCAAACTCAATGACAAGAGGCTTGTCCAGCAGCCTGTACCCATTCAACATATCCAAAGCTGTGTGTGCAGTCTCTACATCTGCAAAACAAAATACACTTCAAATTAAACGATGATGTGATGTTATCTACTGAAATAGAGCTGCTACGTGACAAAGATTTACACTGTGAGTGTAAAATATCCTTAGATTGGAATGGAAAATGGAAATACTAAGGTGATGCAACACATAATGCAAGCACTTGGACCACACAAACTGAGCAAGTACGATGGGGCTCAAAAGTCTGTGGCCACTACTGAAAATGCTTGTATTTTGCATTCCTTGCTAATTTAATACATAGTTTTTCAATTTGTATTATCAGAATAACAACTTAAGTGAAAAGCAGAATATTTCAATATGAACATGAATTTCAGAATTTCTTAGGATTTGATATGTTTTGCTTTAATAGTGTGCATTCAAGCTGATATGAACTCCATACATTTGTGCAAAAGCCTCTGATCTGTAGATCAAATCCACACAAGAGTCGTCTGAACATGCAGTTCAGTGGAAAAGATAATACTAAAAAAAATCAGACCTTTTTGCACAAAGGCCTCAACATGGTCAATTTCACAAATTTGCTTCAATTTGAATAGTGACCTAGAAATAGTGCAGAATCTCTAATATTTCTTCTTCACTTTGTCATAACTTTTTTAAATTTTTTTTTAAATGGTTTCCAGGTTTAAACAAAAAAAAACAAAAACATAAACAAAACAAAAACAACAACAACAAAAAACTGATTTTCAACGTTGTCTCAGACTTTTGAACTCCACTGTATATACACTGATCAGCCATGACATTAAAACCTCCTCCTTGTTTTTACACCCATTGCCCATTTTATCAGCTTCGCTTACACTTCATAGTTCTACAACATCAGACTGTAGTCCGTCTGTTTCGCTGTGTACTTTGTTAACCCCCTTTCACCCTGATCTGGAAAGGAGGTGGATTTAGTGTTATGGCTGATCTGTGTATCTGCTTTAAGGTTAAGACAGTAATTCACTCAAACTAATGGCTTGGTTGAACATATACAGAAACAGTAGAACTTTCGAGGACTTAATGACGTATTCACAGACAGAAATATCGGATACCAGGTCATACCAGAGAATGTGATGAAGGCTTGGCCCTTCAATCTGCCCGTCAATAGGCGGTACAGAATCGGGTGTGTGTCATCCTTCTGAAACCTGGAGAAGAGAGACACCAGCTGGGCTAGAGAGGCCCGAGGACTCATATTCTTCACACACAGCACCTGCTCAGAAAACATGTATATTAACATATGGATCACATGCTTTATGGGGTGCAGTCATAGTTCAGAAATAATACAGCACAAATGTACATAAATATTTACATCTACAAATTTAATTAGTAAAAATTGGTATGAATTAGTAAAAATTAGTAAAACAAAGTATGAATTAGCAAAAATGACTTGAAAAGTTTTTACACAATCCTGATCACAGTAACTCTGCTCACTGTCGTCTGTCTATGTGCTGTGTAACCCACTGATGCCACTATCTGCCTTCAAAAATAAAGTAAAATAAAATATTACTGCAGCTGCAACATATTCAGAGATGCAGTCTTTGCTGCGGAGGTTTTGCATCCTGCGCAACAGTCAGCGAGGTCAGCAACAAGGAAATGCAGAGGTGCTGCAGAAACCTCATTTGTGCTACAGTTCAAAAGTTTGGAATCACTATTTAAAAGCTTGTAATCACTGTTGTCAATAGTATAAATCCAGTGTTGTTGCAGAAACGTGTAAAATTATTCTAATAATTCTAATATTTCACAGGTTTCAAACAGTTTGTAGGAAGATGTAAAAATGATGAATGGAGCTGCAGATTCCATAATAGCTGAAAAAGCTGTATAGCACCGAGAGTACCCCTCTCACAATTCATCTGGTGGTCTGAGGCAAATATGTTAATAAAAGAAAAGCAGAAATCATATTTATTGAGACATGTCACGAATCTTACAAAAACACAAGTTCTACTTTCTGACTTGGTGCTATAAGACATTTAGAAAGAAGTGGTGATGAAATATTTACTTATTTTAGGTAGAGCTGTTTCTGTCATCAACTGGGAGCAAATTAGCTAATCAAATAGCTAGTCAATTTGGCCACAATTAAAGGACAATCTAATCACTAATCCCAATTATTTATGTCAATTAATCATCAGCTCAAATTTCACAATAGCGATAGGTCTAACAGAGGAAGAACTTCTAAAAAATTGATATTCAGAATGTCTCATATTCAAAAAGCAGTCACCAAATAGCTTTCACAGTAATTCTGTAACAAGAAATTACACAAATAATTACAGTTAATTATTTATAAGCATTTCCTGTTCTTACCATGACATAACTTGTTGTTCCCAAAATACTGTGAATTGTGAATAAACCATTGGCTGGTGTCTGGTTCATAAAATTTCACTGTACACAGTGTGTTTCTACACTGTACAAGTTGTCATTGAATTATAATTGTTATTGTGAAAGTGATTCCAAACTTTTGATCAGAAGTAAAACAAAGTAAAAACAAGCAAATAAATAAAATAAAATAAATAAATAAAAAAAATGCAAACTTGAACTATCATTATCATTTTCACTCAGAGCTGCTGTAACAGAAACCTACATTAGACGGCTCTCCACACTGGTAGTTCTGAAAGCGTGGAATTTTCCTGATGCCCTCTTCTGTCTCCCGATTGTTCCTGATCTCCTCGTCTGTAATCTCCTCTATCCTGCCACTGACTGTCACTGGACCGTTCTGGCCCTGTGAGGTAGAAGCGATGAGACGTCCGATTGGCTGGTTCACTGTGATTTTCAGGCCGCTGTGTTTCTCTTGATTTTGAGACTGTGTTTGGTCAGTTATGGGTGGGACCTGCTCATAGCTTACTGACGATTTAGGGCAGTCTTTATGGGCGTGCAATTGATCAGGGTCTTGGTCGGGAAGTGGTGACCAGTTATGACAGGTACCTGTCTCTGTCAAATCAAGTTTATTCGAAGGAGCTAACTGAGGTGATGGAGAGTCCACTGTGCTGTAATCAGAGGCTTTCTGCTGGTCTTTGAGGAAGTCTCTATACAATGTATCCATTGGGTTTGAGGATGTTGCCCCCTGCTGGCCATTCTGCGAATCTTCTTCTACAAATGAGAGAATTAAAAACAGCCTCAAAGTGAGCAAACACTAAAACAATATCATCTTAGAAATTTGATGTTGTACAAGGCTGATAAAAATCTATGATGCATGATGAACTGCTCAAACATATTTACTGCAGTTGCAGTTGACTCTCTCTTTCACTCTACTTTATTAAACCTTGATGGTAGAGGGCAGTAAGGAAGCTGCAGCGGTCGTTGCCATGGAAGAGAGATTTTTCGATCTCCATTTCTCTGCGGGAGAGGGCTCGGCTGGCTGAGAAGCGCTGGGGTCGTGAGAGCAACTCCGCCCGTGCTGTCATCTTGTCCCTAATGACCTGGAGGCGCGCGTCCCTCGCCTCTGGAGCTACATGTACTCCCCGGTTCTGAGAGACAGCAATAAGCACATACCACTTACAGCTATTCTTTTGTGAATAGTACATTTTTTAACAGCTATGAATAACATAAAGATAACAAAGTTAACAATGATAATTCAGATGAAGACTAATGAGATCAAGTTAACAATTTAGAACATATCATTCTAACTATTCATTAGATTTTTTTTCTCTGAATCTTGTGATATTATTATGCACCGTAGAGGGTGAAACACCTAAAATCCTTGCAATCACTCATAGAGGAATGTTATTCTTAAACTGTTGGATTTTTGTTAATGCAGTTATGGACAAAGTGGCGTGCCTTGACCCTTCCTCGCTCATAAAGGACTTTATGTATATTTACATAAAAACAATGAAGTGGATAAGGTAAAACATTAAAAGTCTGTCTGTGTACTGTTTTTGTTCAAATGCAGGTCAAAGTTTATAAACCACTGTTTTCTGTTTTTATGCATTTTACTCACTTTTCTGGAGCTTTTCTGGAGCCAGGTGATATTTAATGATGATAATATTTTTCTGTTAAAAATTATCATTATCGGTTACGTCAACCTCTACATGGCTATTGACTATAGGGATGCACAATAAGAATCAACAGATTTTTGCTCCAAAAACACAATCAGAAATCAGCCAGTTGTTTATTTTTATTTTGGTCATTCTGTGTTACAATTGATTCATATTATTTAAAAAAGCCACAAGATTTTTCATTCAAAAATTCAAAATTCTGGAGTCATATACGTATCAGCAATCGCTACAAACAATTATTGGCATGATTTTACTGCATCTGTAATCTAAAATGTTATATTTCTTTGTAATGCTTATTCAGGTACATGTAGCCCCAATTTTTACATTTTAGAAGTGTTTATGTATCATTAGAATCGGCACTGTGAAAAATATTGGGTACTGGCTTACAATTCCCATATTGGTGTATACCTAAAAAAGGCTACTAAAGGCTACGAACACCCACTTCAACCTGGGAGGGGCTTGATACTGCCAAGGACTGCTTAGTTGAATCAGGTGGGAACTTCTGCTCTAAGAGAACAAACTTAAATTTTCTGCATGTTTTAGTGTGCAATTTCTAGTTATTTGGTCAGGTATATAAAGTGATATAAGTTTTGCATTTTGCATAGGTCACATTTTATCTTTTTTTTCTGATACATTAAATTCAGCAAACAAACAGTAATTGTGCATTAAAATGTGCAGAGGGGTTCTCTGTACAGGATGTGTTTACTAATTTTCACTTGGAAAACCAACAAAATGTGTAATTTAACCAGTGGTGCCCAAACATTTGCATAAAACTGTATATTAGTAACCGATTAATCAAGAACTAATTTCAATGATTATTGGAGAAATAGGAGTTTTTAAAAAGGACTTAACTGAACAAAAACAAACTATGCATAGACAAAAATGCTTTACTGGAAAAGGAAAAAGTGGGAAGCCTTTAAAAAGATGTTAAAAACACTGTGTAGCAAAAAAAGCAGATAAATATCCATGAGACTATTTCTTACTCTATGAGATCAGCTAAATCATTTTATGATTGATCATCATGCAAATTGCCAATTAATCATTGTTGATGTACTGAATATATATATTTATATATTATACACAAATATATTATATATAAAGTTAAAGTCATGACAAACCTCTATATGAGAGTATTATTTAATATTATTTTGCAAGCTGTTTAAATTTCAATAAAGGCTTTCTAGTTCTCTATGCTCATTCCCAACACGGGTGATTAACATCTGTCAAGTTACCGCATCGGGTTTCTTGTCAATCATCGCTGATATCCAATTACGTTGTCCTAATGTATAGCCCTAGCAGTACTATGTTACCTTCCATTCACTCTCTGTCAGGTCTCTGCTCTGCCACAGCTCGATCTCAGCGTCAGTGAGGCCCAGATCTCTCAAGCTGGCCAGCTCCTTCTCTCCATCCTGCAGTGCCTGGAACTGGGCCAGGCTGCGCACTCCCGCTGCCTGCTCACCAAAGGGCTTGTACAGGGCAGCTGGGGCGAAGCATTTTTTCTTGGCTACACAACTGCAGGAACAAGACAAGGACCGCTTTATGGTCTACATCCAACCACAGTCATTAGTCATGATTACATGTACATGCTGAGCAAGTTCTTTACCACTATATATCATTTGCTTTAGCTCCATTTTAAATTTATACACAAAGACCAAAGCCATAAACAAGTGAAACAGCTCCCGCTGTTCCTGCTGTTCCAGCTGCTCTAGCTTGCTCCAAATGTCAGTAAACACTTCTAATTCTAGACCTTCTAAATGTAATAAAATCACACTAGCTGTAAATGTCAGTAAACAACTTCTGATTGTGTACCCCATGAACATGTCTCTTGGTGCAGTCATAGTAATTGTGGTAATAGGAATGCCAGAGTTACCGGTCTACGTTAACATCTGTATCCAGCTGCTGGAGCAGTAGGCTGTGGAGCTGCCGCTGCCCCTCCGTTTCCTGCTCCTCAGGAACTGGACCTTCATCACACACTTGACGCGTGACCCTGCAGAAGAGCCGACAACATTAGGATGCTCGTGTTTGCAAGTGGTTCATACTAAAAATCTATAACCAAACGATTCAATTCTATTGAAATCCATTAGGAAATTATTTAGTGCATGATGAAATCTCAAATTTGTCCACAATTTGATTCAAGCAGTTTATTCTGAATAATAAATACTTTCTAGTACAAGTGCTTAAATGAATCAATGAATAGCACACATACTTGAATAAATCAATGAACAGTAAATAATAAATACTTCGTCCCACTTTACATTAAGTGTCTCTAATAACTGTGTAGTTACACACGAATAACATATGCAACAACACTGTAACTACTGATGATTTGGTTAATGTTAAAGATGGACTACAGAAATACATCCTATGTAATTACACGTTATCAACTGCAGTTTTGCCTCATGTAATTACTCAAGTGTATATTTTACACAGGAACTTTCCTGTAGTGTCTGTAGTGTAGTGTTAAAGTTAAACTTTAAAATAAATGGACAGTTCCTTTGTAGTTATTATACAGGTACTGTGTAATAATGGAGTGGTAATATAGAAATTGCATTGGGAGCAATACATTTAATTAATGTCATAAAAGTTACATTTTAGGACAAGGGGACATCTGCTGTACTGTCATATATACATAGATAATGGCTTAAAGTTGAAACTGGTTGCAATGTCACAGCACTAGCAACATAAATACTAGCTAAATGTTAGGAAAGCTGGCAGATACAGTGTAAGTAATGTCTTGAGTAAGTTATTATAAACTTCCTTTTACTGCTGGGGGAAAAAAAACTTCTAAAGCTGCTGTTCCAGTCTGATTAAGATATTAAGATACACTTGTGTAATGGAAAAATGAAGTTGATACACATGTTTAATTACCTAAGGTGTACGTCTGTAATCCATATGTGGCAGTGACTAGATCATGAGTTGTTACATAGTCGTTGCATATGTTGTTCACATGTAACTACACAGTTATTAGAGACACTTAATATAAAGTGGGCCTAAATACTTTTACAAAAACAGTAAACACACAAGCGTTTCTAGATGAACTATTTACACAGTTCTGGGACAAAAAAACTTAAACTGAGGGACAGTAAAAAATAAATGGGATTTTACATTTGAAACCAATCAGAAGATTGACCTTGAGCACCGGCTTTACTGAAAATTTGATTACTGTTTTCACTATGAATGATGCATGATTAAATCGGAATTGGCAGATTTTTGCTTTAAACACGCAATCGGCAGTTGGCTAATGCATTCTTTTTATTTTGGCTGATGTGTCTTGCAATTTTGTGATGTAAATAACATGAGGCAGGGCTACTTGTGCTGTATTTGAATGTTCCAGTTACACCTATACTAAAATGCTGTAACATGCAGCCAAAATGTAATATCACAACACTTCAAGAAGTTTTCTCTATACACGTTATGCCATAATGATTGCATTGTTAGCTATGTATTTCTTTCTGTGAGGTAGTAGAGTGTTTGAGTAGTTTGATCATAATAGTCTACTTTTAGATGTTCATTTCAAGCACAGTGCTTCAATTAAAAAAAAAAAGCTCATTTTAAAGCTTAGTCATTTTTAAAGAAGAAATATTGGTATCAGCTGGTAATCAAGGTTTTAATATCAGCATCAGTATAGGAAAAGAAAGAGTGATATTATGCCATATCTGATCACAACATCTCAAAATCTATGTAGTTAAACTGCCATCTTCAGCTGCACTTTTACCCCCTTAGTACATAAAAAATATCAATACTTAGAGACTAACATGCTAAAGGACTGTAACCAACTGAAAGTGTCTCGCCAATGACTTTAAAATGAACTTCCCTCTTAAAATGACTCTCTAAAACAGATCTGAAACCTCTCAGTTTTAGTTTTTAGGAGTTGCCCAATTTATACTGTCATTTAAGCACTTAGTGCCCTGTTTCTAGTACAGTTTGATACATTTCTCAACCATTACCCAATGACAGGAGATAATCATAGTATTTTAGACAAATGGGAGTGGACCCTGACACACCTGCCTCACCTGTCTTCATGACGCTCACACACCCACTGACTAACTGACAGGATGAATACCGTATAAGTCATGCAGATCTGCTCTGACATGCTAATTTTAAAAACCGTGTTCATACATATCAACCACCCAGAGAGTACTGCAGTCCTGCCTATGGGTTCATATGTGCTTATGTAACTTTAAAACTCAAGTAACTACTCTCAGCCTACCATTCGAAGCGAGCAGCTCAACAGAATTATTACAAATTTCACATTAATGCCTATATGAAAAAGAATACTCCAGGAGCAGCTAATGAAGTTTCCCACACTTCAGGGTAGAAGGAATAGGCCCTATTTGGCCTAAATTGCTGCTCAACTTACGGCCATAATAATACAATGAGATGTCACAATGCAGTGTCTCCACTCAGTAAGGTTGCATGTAAGCTTGGATGATAATATGAATTGAGACAAACAATTATTGTCTGAAGAATCACTGTCATAAATGAACTAAACACGATCCCAAATCAGTTACACAGTAACTAAACTGGGTCTGGTTTGTAGCAGGGGAGAGACAAATCAACTGACTGGCAAAATCAACAAAGTGACATTCTTTTTCTGGACAAGTTCATCCACTTTACTCTCTGCCAAACACTTTTAGTTTCGTTTCCACATTCCCCAGCATACAAAGGGAACAGTGAAATAAGGGCAAGGGAATGGTTATGATAGAAACCAGGGGTTACAATATCTACAATAAGACAGGGCAATATGACATTATTAATCTTCATCATGATAAATCACATAATGTAAAAACACATTACAGTACTTAAAAACACTTCTCAACTGCATGTTTCGATTTTAAAAAAGCATAATTAGCCCTGTTTATTGTACTTAGTACACCACAGTATGTAAAATGTTGAATAGAAATCATTGTATTCACAGTATTTTATGGTATTTTTAAATGTGGCACTATTTTGTCATTTCCAACTTTTCAGATTTGTCAAAAATAAATGTATATTGTGACATATCATGTATTGTGATTTTTTCCATTTCGCCCAGCTTTAATCTATAACACAAATATGGCCATTTTATTTATTATTTAAAACAACCAGTAAATGTACGTCTTTTAATATGTAATACGTAATGCAGTAAAATAGAATTTAATCAGAAAAAGATCTTTGGGAACTTTCTTGCCTTACAACACCCTGCATATATTTCCTTACCATGCATGAACTTGCATTTTAATGCAAAAAAAAATAAAATGCATTTAAGACCAAAAGCTTTTCATAGGACTATCATAAAACAAGATATCAGGCATCAGGCAGTGTATTCATAACCATTTTTTGTAATAACTTTCTGTGAGGGAGCTTTTAGAGGCAGTAAACTCTTCAGATGTCACTGTCAACAATTCTGACTGTGTGAATTTCTCTAGAATGGAGCATTTCACAATAAACCACTCAGAATGACTTTGTTTGCATCTTTTAAGTTCCTCTTTAAAGTGATGCCATAGAAGAAGCACTTCTGGTTCCCAAAAGAACCTTTCAATTGACGGTCCATTGAAGAGCCACTTTTGTAATTGACGTGTGAGTGTCAAGAACCTCTGCACAATGTTTTTTCTTAGAACTGTACTGTTGTGTGCAAAAGTTTGAGAAGTTTATAAGTGAAAATAAGCTAAAATATCCTCTACAGAGAACACACTTCTGCGCATTTCAATGCACAGTTACTGTTTATTTGCTGAATTTAACACATTTGAAAAATGCACAAAAGATAAGGTACACTTCACATTATACATACATCAACATTAACATGACCAACATTAAGACCACCTCCTTGTTTCTACGCTCATTGTCCACTTTATCAGCTCCACTTACCATATAGGTGCACTTTGTACTTCTACAATTACAGACTGCAGTCCATCTGTTTCTCTGCATACTTTGTTAGCCCACTTTTACCCTGTTCTTCAGTGGTCAGGACTGCAGTAACACTGACATGGTGGTCGTGTGTTAGTGTGTGTTGTGCTGGTACGAATGGATCAAACACAGCAGTGCTGCTGGAGTTTTTAAGCACCACTCACTGTCCACTCTATTAGACACTCCAACCTTGTCAGTCCACCTCGTAGATGTAAAGTCAGAGATGATAGCTCATCTGCTGCTGCACAGTTTGTGTTGGTCATCCTCTAGTCCTTCATCAGTGGTCACAGGACGCTGCCCACAGGACGCTGTTGGCTGGATATTTTTGGTTGGTGGACTATTCTCAGTCCAGCAGTGACACTGAGGTGTTTAAAAACTCCAGCAGCACTGCTGTGTCTGATCCACTCAGACCAGCGCAACAAACACTAACACACCACCAACACGTCAGTGTCACTGCAATGCTGATCCACCACCCAAATAGTACCTGCTCTGTGAGGGTCTATTGGGGTCCTGACCACTGAAGAACAGGGTAAAAGGGGGCTAACAAAGTATGCAGAGAAACAGATGGACTACAGTCTGTAATTGTAGAACTACAAAGTGCACCTATACAGGGTGTCCCAAAAAAATTGACATCATCTAATAACATAGCCAATTCTCCCTCAAATGATCTCAAATTTTAACAAAATGTGTAAAAACTAACCAAGTTTAATTTTTAATGTTTTTTTCAGGTTGAAGAATGGCGTTCACTAGAAATGAAAAGGCATTTTGTGTGTTAGAATTTGCTCGAACACAGTCGTGCAGCGTGCATTTTCTGGAAAGCAGATTTGGACATGGCACAAAAAATTCAAAGAGGAAGGCTGTCTGTGCAGGGCAAAGGGATCTGGACAACCATCAGTATCGAAAGATATTACATTTGTGAAGCTAAAATCTACATCCCTCTTAATTTCTTGTTCGAATTTTGATAAATAAATCTCGTATTGTTCAACATGAAGCCTACTTAATTTTGTTTGCCCAGGACATGTAGTTACTCAGATATTCACATCTCAAATGATGTCAATTTTTTGGGACACTCTGTAGTAAGTGGAGCTGATAAAATGGACAATGAGCGTAGAAACAATGAGGTGGTCATAATGTTATGTCTGATCGGTGTGTATACATATATATATATATACATACACACACACATATATGTATATTTTCCCCCCAATAAGTGTTCAAACTTATGACTGTGTGTCATTGAAAATACATAAATTAATAACATCTGGTTAAGTATTGAAAGTTTAATGAAAATAGTCTGCATACTTTATCTAGTCCTAATCAGCTAATCAGCACATCCTTTATATTTCCAGAAAGCAAATATTTCATCAGCACATTTGATGCACATGAGTAATTCAAGTCTATGCGGTAAGTCAAAACATCTACGCGTATTTGTTTTACATTCCACATTTTTGTTTTTAAAGTCATTAATCAGTGAAAGTAATAACAGATGCAGTACTAAGCTACTTGCTGATGTTTTAGCCACATGTCATAACTCTGTTGAGCAGTTCAATAAACCAGTGGACACAGAGATATAATACTGTGCCCTATTAAAAGTTTAAAAAGATGGCAATCCTATCGCTTGACCTAAACTCTTCACAGCACTGCACAGAATACTTAAAGCAGGCAACAAAAGTAAGAGCATTTAGATTAACAATCTGGAAGAGATCAGAAGAAACAGAAGGAATGAAAATGAAGAGGCAATTCTTCGACATTATCTTGCTTTCTCTACAAAAGTACCCACTGACATTTACAGAATTTCAAGTAATGTCTGTTTGTTTTTTTTAATGTTTTTGTTTCTCTCAGGTCTGTGGTATGTTTACATTGTTTTGCAAAGATTACTCCTTTTACTGGCATATTTACAAATATAAACAAATGATTTATAGTGTTTAAAGGGCCCATATAATGGAAAATCAAATTTCAATGTTTTGATTTTTTTAAATAAGATAGTTTAATGTAGTAAATAAACAGTTACTCCCCAGTCCATACAACCCATGTACGGAAATTAAGCTGTAAAAACTGTCCATTTTGAAGTCATTGTTTTTGTGGTGTCACGAAAATCACTGCATTTACATATACCAGCCTACTAAGTATACAACAGTTTAGCAATGCCGGTTCACTCTGAAGTTATAAGGTGTGTTTCAGCCCAGACTGCTCTCTGAATGGGGCACAATAAATGGCAGCTAAACAGAACAGAGCTAATTTACATATAATCAGTCTTAAGGACATAGTAACAAAAAAGCCTGTTTAATTCTAAGGGATAAAGAGAGGTGGGACAATGGTCATGTGAAAATGAATTATGACTTTTTGGTACATAAGACCACAGAAGACTAATGAAACAAAAATATAGTATGTGCTTCTTAAAGTCATTTAAAATTTAGTGAAGGTACAACTGCTTCAGTTATTCCTGACCGTGGCTCTAACTATGGTGTTAGGTATTCTCCTATTAAATATTAAATGCTCCCTGTGTGTCTCACATCCACTGCAGTTCCATGGTTCCACTTTCATGGAAATGTGCCATTTTGAACGAATATCATCATGTTTTAGTTTGTATAAAATATAAGGTTTTCACAGGGAACTCTGGATTTCACAAAGCAGTAAAGCACTGATTATCTTGGCTATATTTCTTATATGCTAGATTGTCATGCTCCAGCTGGATAGCTAGGTTCTCTCAAAATGCACACTGCATGACAAAATACACAGTTCTGTGTATTTAGACGGTGGGTAGGATTATATTAGATTTCTTTATTTCCATTACTCATGTTAGAACTAAGAGTGGTTAGCGTGCTTAAACTTAAACCAAAATTTCATCCAGTAGTGGGGATAAGAACCAAACATCCAAAGTGTTTAATGCCTTAAAAATCTACCTCACAGAAAGTTATTACACAAGATGAATGAATACACTGCCTTTTGTAATCATCACTGTCTTTTTGTAAACATTTTTAATCATTAATTGTAGAGAGGTACATGCAGGGCATTGTTAGGCATTTTTCCCCATTTACCACTATTTTACCATAACCAAAATTACATTTAAACACACATCTCACGTGTAGGTTCACTGGTCATTTTGGAAAATAAATAAAATGGCTACATTTTACATTTACATTTGACATTGCGACCCCTGCCCAGATAGCAGACAGTTTTGTGCTGATTCTGCCTTTCCGTGTGTATTGGTTGTCTACCAGACAGATGTTAGGCATGCAGGCCAGAACAGTGCAAGATGCTGGGCAACTTCATACGGTTTTTCCTCGTGTCTATATTTCTGAGCCAATTCTGGTGTGAATGTTGTAGACCAACAGTGTAGTTGTTCCAGATTTAGGCCACATCCATTAGTTCTACTCACTTCATGGTGTGTGGGCCAGATCTGGGCCAATAACCCAGGCGTATACTGGGACAGAACAAACCCAAGCATGTGGTCCACAAGTGGGCCTGAACAAATTTTGCTAACTGGGTGGCTCAACACCACTGTAAAGAAAAAAAGCTGTTAAATTACGCTACAGAGCACCATTACCACGTCCACCACCATGATTAAATTAGGCCGTGTTTAATCTGTGGACCTGCCCTGCAACATTACTATAACGTTTCAATTACACTCCAACCACTGAATTTCTTAAGTTGAACCCGGATGAGAAATCTTGCTTCACGAACCCTCCAAAGCTGTCAGAAACTCTGAGTGTGTGTCTGAACGAAGAGTGGGAGTCTGTTACTCAAACACTCCGACTCTCAACTCGCCGCTAACTGTGCTGCATTACATGAAGACGCTTATATCTCATCTTCCGCACTGTACAGCGATATACATTACCCAGAAAATTATAATACGCAATATCTTTTCAGCAAATTTATCCACCAAGGCACAAAAACATTAAACACACACTATCACACATTTGCTTCTTACCGCTTCATGTTTCCCAAAACATGTCAACTTCCTCCCTTCAGCGGAAGTGTTCTTGTCGAAACAAAGGAGTCTGGGATATGTAGTTCAAGGCAGTTATGTGACGATAATACTACTACTACTACTAATAATAATAATAATTCCAAAATTGGTTTGTGAACTTAAGATATAGCTGTTATTCAGAAGCTCTAAAATTTTAATATTGATGCCAAATGCTGTAAGATTCTCATAAGAATCCCGTATAAATTCCCACAGAATCATTTTCAAGGGTCTCTCTTTCTAAAATTTTGTAAATTTATACATTTATTATAGTTTACCACAGGATGCTGCACAAGTATTATAGGACAGCAATATTATACAGAAATAAAAATATTATAGACTTATAAAATACTGTAGAAATCTTATAGTTTCTTATTGTATTGCTAAGTTAGAAAAATGGAAAAAATCTATTAAAGGCTGCTTGAAAAGTAGGTATCTGGATTTCAAATGACAGTAAAACACAACCATTGTAGAAAAGTGTGGCATTGACACCCATCACCCTTTCCTACCCCACCCCCTAAATACCAGACGCACACACACTGAATATTCAGAAAGGAGTGCCTTCTGACAATCACTGCTGTCGAATGCATTTGCACCTGCAAAGGGTCTTTTGTAATGCACAGCACTACTGATGCTTTTGCATGAGTGTGATTTTGTTTCTGAAAGTCACTTAAACTGAAGAGAAATAACACACATTGACTCTGAAACACTCTAACATAATGTTTTCTATCTCGGCTCTCTGATAGTGCTGGGCAACAAAACATACATGCTGGTATACTGTGATATTATTTTTTAGTTTTAGCAATATTTTTAGTGATAAATTTTTTTTTACATAACTTGTATTATATCCATGATATATTGTCCATAATATTGTAAAATTGTATTTTATTTATGTAATGTTGATAATGTAAACAGTGGCACATATGAGAAATATATAATTTTTTATTTGGGTACCATTTTTCTTTCTGCATGCACCTCTCTGCCATTAAAGATTAAAAAAAATGAGTCCAAAACCTTTAAAAAAACATAAATCAATGTCTGAAGCCTCAGGCAATGTATTCATAATCATATATGAGGTAGCTTTTAGAGGCATTAAAGAGGAAAATTTCCCAAATTTCTCCATAAGCCAACTGTTAAGATGTAAACAAAGTCACTCAGATCATTCCCACTGGTAGTGATAGGAACCTGACATCTAATGCCTCAATAAGCTTGCTCTATGATAGTTATGAGATAATCATTTGGGTACTTTTTAAAATCCATTCATGCTGGACAGACACATGTAGGGCATTTTATGGCAAAGTAGTCAGTCCCCAAAGAAAACGTTTTCCCTCCCACTATTTTACCATCATCAACATTACATACACACACTCAGAAGACTTGTGTAGGTTCACTGGTGGGTTCTGATAGTTAATAAAATGGCTAGATTTGTGTAGACACCATGGCCTCTGGTTCCTATCACCACCACTGTAAAAAAAAAAAAAAAAATCAGAATTGGTATACTGCTGTATAACATTGTTTACATCTCAGTGATTGAATTATGCACACATTTTCTCCACGTCTGGCTCCTAAAAACAGCCTATGTAAAAAGTAAAAAAAATAAGGTTTCCTTTCTGGAAATGTGCTTTCTGCCTGGCTCATGTTTACAGTGCTGAGTAAGACTCCTTCTGATGTAATGTTAAGAGAAGAAAAAACAGCTCCTATGTAACTAAGGTTTATATTACATTATTTTGGCTCAGAGTGACGGTACTTTATTAATGCAAACCTAACGTATCATCTGATACCGTAACACCGTGATATATTTGGAGAGTATCGTGATATTGTACTGTTCATCGGTATCGCTCAGCTCTGCTTTCAGGTGCAGGGAAGCGGCTGGCAGTCGAGAAAGCGAGAGGACATCCGGTACGTGCTGACGTCAGTAGGTGAGGCGGCAGGGTGTGTTCAGTAAACCGTGCAGAGACAGAAAACAGAGACGAGAACAAAAACATGGCGAAGATATTGAAAAGCTGCGAGCAGGGGAAGGCTGCGCTGGGCAGAGTCGGGCTCCGCTGTTGCTGCTGCTGCTGGTTCGAGCAGCTCTGCAGGCTCTGACTGACGGCGCGGAGGGGTGGGGACGCAGGGTGGGGTCAGAGGCAGGGGAGAGGCGGAGGAGAGACGGAGAGCCTGAGAGCCCAGCCCTGAACACGGCAACAACACGCACTCACACTCAAAGACGCTCGGGGGGGAGCAAAGAGGATTTTTTCGACGCCGGGGACATGATTCGTAGGACTCGCTGAGGCGAAGACCTTCACCTTTTCTCCAAAAAACTGATCCGAAAGGTGGAAAACTGCCGTCGACATTACTATTATTGAAACACACCCTGCCCGAGCGACCCCCCCTCCACTCCACCCCTTTTTAACACCGCACCCGCTTAGCTACCGAGATGCACACGGAGACTCGAAATAAGAAAGTAAGTCCATTTTTATTAACCGTTATTGACTTGTCAGAGCACCACAGCCAGCCGCGGCTCGCTTCCGGCCCGGCTGAAATTTCAGCCGTTTCTGTGCTAAAGAAATTCTGTCAACAAACCGAACTAACGTTAGCGCTCCCTCCTTCCTGCAGGGCTGTTACCGACTTCGCTAGCGGCCGGTCCGAATAGCCTGAGTTGTAGCTGGGCGAAGCGGTGAGGTGGCTCGGGCTAGTGAGCCCGGTGACTGTGCTAGCCGGGTCAGAGCAGCTGCAGCTCAGTGACTTTACCGTAACGCTCCCGTTAGCTCCAGCCAGCCTATTCTCTCCTGTCCGTTAGCCTAAACACATCCTGCGCAAAGTTAGAGAAAGCGGCCAACTCTTTAACGAAGTTTCCTACTCAGCGAAGCCGGTGTCGGCGAACTGTAAGGTTTGAACAAGGTTGTGCACGACTGATCCTCATCCTCTCCTTCTCGAAGCAGATTTTGAAGTGGTCAATGCGAGGCAGGAAGGAAACACAGCGAATGCAGCTAGCTAGTAAGACACCATCTTAGTTTCTTAAAGCGACAGGGACCTTAGCGGAGTAGAGGAAATGTACAGGTCTGTGGTGTGTGGGCAGGTATTGCACTTTTGCATCTTCCTTTTGTTTCTCTCGGGCTTCTTTGGCATTTAGACTTGCCGAGGTGAAACCAAGCAGTTGGCTGTCTCCTCATTTCCTGTTGTTTGTTGTTTTAGGAGAAGATTGTCTGCAGAATGGCATGTGTGGGCCCTGTTTAAAGTCTGTGAAGGTTTTCAGTCATTCTGGTCACTGAATTTTGTGATAGTGAGTCAAGGTGACTGGACATGTGGTATAGCATAAGGCCTGTAGCCATGACTTACTAATACAAGATGCTAAAAGTCAAGACTGCCTTGTTCAACTGTCAAAGGTGTGCTGTGATATGGGTTTGGCAGGGCATCACATGCATGCAGAGGATTTGCATGTCTTAAATTAATAAATAATGCATGGCAGTTGTGGCCTGTATGGTGGCATTAATATCTCCTGACAAGTTGGTTAGCAAAGCCGCATTTATCTTAACCCACCTTCTATTGTGCAGATCACAGTTAAGGTAGGGCTGTGTACCATAACAACCAAACGGGTATTTGTTTTGTTACTGTTCTAAGTGCAACACCCTTAGTCTTATTAAAATAGGCTGGTTTCAGGGGTGTAATCTATAAGCAGATTCTGAGCACACATGCTTGAGTGGAGACGCTGCAGCAGGACCTGACATTGGTGGAGCCGGGGAGGTGAGTGGAGTGAGGTACTGCCATTGGAGGAACTGGGAGTGCTCCTGCCTGGGCGTGCCCAACAGCTGGCAATCATTAACAAATGTGGACAAACTTTGGTCAAACTAGTTAAACACTCAGCGCCCGTCTGCTGGTCCCAACCCTTGGGTGTTGTCAGGGAGACATCGTGTTGGGGTGGCGTCACGGGTCGAAGTGTCTGCTGGCTGGCCCGGCAGGTTAAAGGCTTGTTATGAAGCGGGAGGCTGTTTTAGGCATTGAGACAGTTAGGGTCTGTCACTGTCCTAGAGTGGACAGCTATTTTTAGGAGGTGGGTGCCATGTCTTGTCTACAGTACCACTCTCTCTGGGTGTGACCGAGGTTATGTTTTTGTAGGGAGGTAACATTGCAGACTGAGGGCTTTAAACCACACCTTGCAGTTTCTCTCATTCTCCCTCCCTCCCTCAATCTATTTTGTTTACATCTTTTCACTGTCTCTACCACACCCCAATCTTATGCTCAAGCTTGACATCAACTGCATTCTTAAAAATAAAGGTTTCTTAGGAGTGATCCTGTAGAAGAACCACTGAAGAACCTTTCAGTGAGTGCTTCTATATAGGACCATTTATCTGTACCAATTAAAAGTTTTCCCTAGAACTGTACAATCAAGCCAAGAAGTATTTGCATGCGTTGTGTTAGCTGGGTTTCTGTATGGACCACTGCCCCACTCAATACTTTTACTCTGTGGGGTAGTAGTCAATCACTTAGACCCAACTAATCTGCTGACGCAGAAATATTTCAGCACAAAGTTTCCTGACTAAGTACCTTTAGACCTTTACCCCTTCTTAAATGCCTGACTGTTGTAGCCTACTGCTCCCTTTTCAGAGACTGCATGTGTAATAACATTGTGATTGGGGGCTGGTGGGAAAGCTTCATGTGTTTCAGGCTCCCTTGGTTGAAACAGTATTCTCAATATGTGTGAAAGTCAGGCCTGCCTTTTATGATCTGGTAATACCAAGTCATAAAAGATAAAAGCTTTTCACACATAGTTGAGTATAAAACCTTCTTACTTCCATGCAAAAGGGTAGTCTGTGGTCAATTTTTACACCTGCAGATCTAAAGTTATTGTTCGCTGCATAAGGCCACACTTGGTACTTTGAAGGTGCCTAGACCACATGAGTGTGTACATGGTTACAGTTGTCATAAACCATTACAGCTGTGATTCACTGTGGCCCATTTTGGCTGCATGATTGATGGACGCATGAAGAAAACATGAGGAATGGCATTATTGTAAAAT